ATATATATATATAGTGAGCACTAGATCAGTACAAAAGCAATAAAAGCAGAAGTGTGTATTAAAGAAAAAATGGTTGATTTTTTATTACATTGACAATTCATTTCAATTACCTTGAGGTCCTCTTCTTCCTTTTGAAGAGCTTTGGATACAGACTTCTCCTTTTCATCTTCCTCTCCTAACTTCTCAGCAGTTTTGGAATGTGCTTGAAACACAAAATGTTCAATAAGTCATTAATTCCTGATGCACAAAACCTCATTTCTGTCAAATTAATTACATTTCTAAGCACTTATGTTATCACTGCCAATCTTTACCATTGTCTGAGTGCTCTGGAGTGGCCCATCCCGCCTTGTCTGAGCCCCGGCTGCTCGAGTCAGGACTTGGCGCACGGTGGAAAGACGTCTTCCATTTGTTCTTCTTCAAAAGTAAATTACTTTTTGGCCCATCCTGACTTGCTTCGGAACAGGGGCTCGAACCACCGGCACTGCCGTCACCTTCCTCCAAGGCACGAAGCTCAGCCTGCAGACCAACAATCACTTTCAATACCACCATTTCACAAAAGAAACGGTATATAACTTTAAAGAAAGATCCATTCATTTACAATACTTGCTTAATTAGGCATGAAATGAGACTAAGATGATGACTGCATAAACATATATATATATATATAGTTTCATTTTAACTTGGAAGTTACGATGTTTCAAATGAAGAAATATTATTGAACTGTAATGTATATATTATAATTATAATATAGACATATTGTTATAATATAATACATAATCATATATATATATATATATATATATATATATATATGAAATATTACTATAATATAGACTAATGAGTTATTTCTAATGTAGCAACTCACTTTTTTCCTCTCTAGTGCTAGTTCTAGTTCCATGGTGTCCTCTTCTGCCTCCTCCTCCCTGTCAGAAGACTCTGCGGAGTGGTTCCTGCTGCGCTGGTTACTCTGGCTGTCCGTATCTCGGAGAGCTGGGGAGTCCAAAGATGGAGTGCCTTCGCCTTCTAGTTCCTGGGCCGCTTCTACAGTCTCCTCCATTGCCAGCACCTTCTTTCTCCACTTCTCCTCTGCCTCCTTAACTTCTTCTGGGATAAGAGGAGCTAGGAGAGTAGCTGCAACCCCTCTCCTCTCTTCTTCCTCACTGGTCAAAGCCACGACACTCTCAATTACTTCCTGTGTGGATAAAGGATGCAGAATTTTACTAATGACTAAAGAAGTTAATTCCAAGTAGTTTTCCCAACTCATGCAGTTAAGGGCGAAGTCATACAAAAAATTCTTGCCTTCTTTTTGGTTTCGTTTTTAGATGCAGGAGCAGCTGCAACAGACTGCTGCTCAGTATAACCACTATGATTTGCCACACCATTGCCATTTACAGACGAACTGTGGAAAATAACAGAGACACACAAATATATAAAATTCATTAATATACATTATAAATTATAATATAGCAGAATGTGTTCATATTAATACAATTAGGGATGTAACGATTAACCGCGAGCAGGTTGAGAATCGATTCAAATATGTGACGATTCAAATCGGTTGAGATGCTAAGTCTCAGATATGTATATATATATACACACACACACACAGAGAGACTCATTTATTTTAAATGTTATTCATTACGTATATACAGTATATATTAGGTAGTGCTAACAATCAGGTATAACTTACGTGTGGCCTTCACAGCTGGTGTCTTCATTACTACATTAACTTCTCTCTGACCATCCGTGTTACCCTCAGGTTCGTCTACAAAACGAAACAGACAGTTTGTAACGTTTTTAAAACATTTATAACAAAGTTATCCTTGCTGTTCCGGTGCGGGTGAATTAGCATGTTTAGCTAACGCTTTGTCTGAAGCCCAGTGAAGCCGCGCTGCTATCTCCAAATTGTGGTTATACATGACTTAAATAACAAACACGTCTCTTTAATATATCAAAGTAAGCCATTACGGATGATTTTATGTTGTTTATGTCATAACCAGTTTGACAAGCTATATCAGCACGCACATTTTTCGGTTAATCTGTAAGTTACCGGTGGCTAACGCTAAACTTGACAAACGGCGCTTCAAAAGATATTAACTGAACCACACAGTCTGTATCGGTTTATTAAAACGCGTTAATTTATAACAAAAACGGTATAAATGTAATATTTTTATTATGATTAGCCAAATATCACAGCTGACTAGCAAATTTACTAAGCAAACTCGTTTTCCACTCGCTGTAGAAGCGCGTTTCTCTTAAAATGGTTCGTCTTGCTCTTGCTCCATCTTTTGTGCATCTGATTCTACCGATGCGTTTGTCTCTCTCGCCCACCTTCGGATCCCGAGCCGACACCGTCCTCTCTGGCTGCTCCTGTAGCGCTGCGGGTCGGTCCCGGCGGTGAAAGCTGTAATATGGTTCTCCTGCCGGTGCCTGTGCGAGTCTTCTTCCCCATCGTGGCTGTTAATATCGGAGCTCCGCTCTCAATCACAGCCCTGCGTCAAACTGATCGCTCCTTGCTTTCCAAATGGCTGATTGACTTCTTTTCCTTCAAAATAAAAGTTCTTACGTAACGTCAGCGCTCCGTCTTTCTTCAAAACAAATGTTGTAACAGTGGGATAACAGTGAAAATGTATTTAATCCTAAGATCTTTGCTTGTATCTTATTGTATACCTATGATGTATTTAAAGGAAAATAAGGACTTGAAAAAGTATTTAAATTATTATTATTATTATTATTGTTGTTGTTGTTATACATCAGTGGTTTGATATGGTCTTTTAAATTCTTTAAAATGATTTTTATACTATACCCTAAAACTATTATTTTCTTAATAATAATAATTTATAAAACTTGTCTTTGATTTTAATTTTTCCACATATTATTGTTATTATTATTATATATTTCAGCGGTTTGATTTGGTCTTTTATATTTTTTAAATATCATTGTTTTATACTATTATTATTTTGTTTATAATAATAATAATATAGTTTGTTGGATACATTGAAATTATTTTCACGTATGTACATTTACTATTACTCAGAGGCGGACAGTAACTAAGTGCATTTACTTGAGTATTGTACTTAAGTACACTTTTTGAGTATCTGTACTTTACTTGAGTATTATTTTTTCTGGGAACTTATGACTTTAACTTCACTACATTTGAAAGTCAAATATTGTACATTTCACTCCACTACATTTCAATGAAGGTCCTCCAAGTAGAAAGTCGTTACTATGTAGCAGCTTTGAAAGTCAGTATGTGGTTTTTTTCTTCTCTACAATGTGACTTTCTTTTTTTCAGACAGTTGATCAGTAATCACTCTTGTAGGGCTACATGAAGTGATTTCCCAGCATTTTTTGGACACTGACCAGTTGCAAATATAATATTTATTTACAGCAATTCAATAATAAGTTAATATTGTGGTATATATTAGACACAATATTGTCTGATTTTGCTAAATTGTGTACGTGAAAATATTACCTATAAAGCCACAGAAGAACTGTTGTGCGTCAATAGGTGTTGGACTTGAAGCAGCACTGCATAGACTGTTCTGTGTGTGACATCAAAGTACCGTGAGAGCGATTAGACAGCATTTTTAAATGTTTGTTTTGATGTCAAATAAGTCTTGCTGTTTTGCTTTTTTGTTAAAGCAGTGTTGCTGTTGTAAAGTTGTACAGCTACAGTTGTGTTGCTGGGTTTTAAAGCAGGTTTGTTTTTTTTTTTTCTTCCTTATCACTCTGTATTTACAGGATTTCACTGTCCACTCTGTTCAAATGTGGATGAATGGCTACACATAGATGTGTGCACACACTGTCAGAGCTGTGTGAGATCACTACCATCCTGATTTTGTGGGGGTGGGTAGGGGTGTTACATTTTTTTTTTTTCCCATAGGTTTTTAACATTCTAAAAGCTCTTTATTCCAAATATACTACAAGCTATTCAGTGTATTCAGCAGGTGTAATGTATTCTAAGTTGCTTCAGAAGTATTGCAAGTACTAGTAAGTACAACAATAAAACAGTGCATTGACATAAAAAAGGAAATTTACTTTTGGTACTTAAGTACTTTTAAAAGCAAGTACTTCTGTACTTTTACTTAAGTAAATATATGTCTTTACAACTTTTAATTGTAATGGAGTAATATTTGACCGGCAGTATCTGTACTTTTACTCAAGTAATGGAGTTGAGTACTTTGTCCGCCTCTGCGTATTAATTCATGTTTTATGTTGCACTTAAACTATTAAGTGCAGCTTGTGTATTTGCAAGGTTTATATGCTAGCAAAATGTACATAATTTCAAGCAAAATTTGACATCCTCTGTTGACTTGTTCACACATTTTGAACCTGTGAATCCAGTGAACAGAGTCCTGCAGGACTTCATATTACAAAGCAGGAGCGCTAGAGTATGATTAAAACCTATTAAGAGTCTTACATCAAAATGGAGACCCAAATCTGTTACAGGACATCTGCATTATTTATGAACAGGGGCACATTGTTAGAATTTCACCATTTATCACTGACACGGCCAACCTCACTGAACAGATTCACTGAACGGACATGGAAAATGTATAAATCTGAATGAATTACCAAATCCCTGACTGAGATCTGAAATTACTTTCTACAGAAAAGTTTTATGCTGCGATTTTGTGAAAACAAAATGACAGTCCTAAAATGTGTCTTTTTTGAAGCGATCTTTCCAATACTATGGAGTACCATAAATAACATCACAACAAAGAAAGAAAGCACTTTGGCTTACTTCATATCAAGAAAATTGGTTCCCTTTAATTACATAAGCATCTGTGTTAAAAATAGGCAGAAAAAAATGATGTGTAAATTACTATAAATATTTCATATTTTAATTCTTAAATATAAATATTGTAATTCTAATATCTAATATATGTTCTAATTGTTTATTCTGAATATCATTAATTATATTATTGAAATATTTAATTTAAAATAATTTCTATTCTACTTCAAAAATCTACTATAAAACAATAAACTATATATGTGACCCTGGACCACAAAACCAGTCTTAAGTCACTGGGGTATATTTTTAGCAATAGCCAAAAAAACATTGTATGGGTCAAAATTATTAAAGGGTTAGTTCACCCAAAAATGAAAATTCTGTCATTAATTACTCACCCTCGTGTTGTTCGAA